AGAAACGTCTGAAAGTAACATAGGCCATATAAATTTTGGAAATTTCACTAGAAACTTGAGATCAGAATCTGAGGTAGCTCCATTTTGTATGCTCTCCAGCATTTATATGTGAATAAATCTTTTGGGTCTCGTACCATCGCTCGTTACCGTGATACTGGCAGCGTAGCCCGACGTCAAGAAAGTGGACGAAAGAAAACAGCAACATCAGCAGAAATGGTTCGAAGAGTAAAGAAGCGACTTGATCGAAACCCGCGTCGCAGTGACCGAAAAATGGCTTGTGAGCTGAACATATCGCAATATTCCATTCGGCAAATATTGAAAAATGAGCTCGAGGTAAAGCCATTGAAATTCCAAAAATAGCAAGAACTTACACCACAACCGAAAGAAAATAGACTCAAAAGAGCTAAAGAGTTGCTTCGCTTGGCCGAAAGTGGTGAACTGCCGAATTTAGTTTTCTGCGATGAGAAAACATTCCTTGTTCAGTAGTTTGTTTGTTTAAAAAGAAAGCAAAATGATCGTGTTTACTTGCTAAAGGGGTCAGCTGATAATGTGCACCTCGGGTTGGCCACCAGAACTCAAGCGCCGGCCATGATGATGGTGTGGGTCGCCATAACAGCCGATGGTCGCTCTGAGCTCATTTAGACGACCGTGGGTCGAATATTATCGCGAAAATATGCTGAAGGGTGTATTAAAACCTTGGTCACGCAAACATTTTGGCCGCAGACCTTGGGCATTTCAACAGGATTTAGCACCATCGCACTCAGCACGCGCCACCCAAGAATGGTCAACAAATGAGGTTCTTCGCTTCATTTCTAGCGCACAATGACCACCGTTAGACTATTGTGTCTGGAATATTTTGGAAAGCAAGGTTGACACTAAAAAATACCAAAGTGTCGATCACCTCACGCAAGCGCTTCGTTGGGAATGGGCCAAAATACCGCAGAGCAGCATTCGGGCAGTGTGTTACGGTTTCATTGGCCGTTTGAAAATTCGTGCCAAAGATGACCAATTCTAACAAATCTAAACTTATTTTAAAATTTGATGCTATTTCCGACATTTTTTGCTTTCATTCAATAAAATTTAAAAAAATATAAAAATTATGGCGCTTGACTTTGTTGCAGATTTTTTCCCATCCTGTATTTGATGCACCAAACACGCTATATATCTCCAATTTCAATGAAATATGGAATGTGAGACGAAAATTATTCTTTAAATAAATTTGTCAAATTATATTGAAATCGGTTCAGATTTGGATATGGTACCTATATAAACTAAGCAATGCCGTTCAACTTTAAAAGATTACAGATTCCTTTTCGCCTGGGGTTTGCCATGACAATTAATAAATCCCAAGGACAATCTCTTTGTGTATGCGGACTAAATTTAGCATGTTTCTGCTTTTCTCATGGTGTCCTTCTTATGTTTATAGTTCGGATTTCCGTAATATATTACGGGCTATAACAAAATTCTAATTATTTATAAAAATGCCCATTTTTTTAATTTACCTCAACAATAATCATTTTTTTCTTCGAGTGTATTGTACATTTGCGCTACACACAATTGAAAACATTGTGTGGTGAATTTTCTCGGCGTTTTTTTTTTTCGCCATTTGTTATCTGTATTTATTTGTTCTTTTCGGCCATAATACCGTTCTCTTGCAACAACTTGTTGTTTTCTTGGCTAAGAACAAAAATCTTTTCAATTCTATTCTTCTTTGAGTGGCAGTGTTGCCATTACTCATTGATAGATTCTTTACCAATAGTTTGAGGAAAATTGTTTCTTGGAATGGCGGTTTCAATTTTTTATTTCAAAACCAGACATATACTTCTGACTAGCAAGTGTCCGCTACTTCATGAAAACAAAAAGTCCACCTGAACATTTTAGATTCGTTAATAATCTTTTATAGCAAAAATTCTTCAAAATCTTTCATTTTTGAAGTTTACCCAGGAGTATGATATTAGTAAGACCATTGCACAATGGACCCGTATCCAATTTTTTTGTCCAAAACTATTTCAACGTCACCATATGTCAATCCTAGAAATTAACATCCATTCAACCAATATCTTAAGTTAAGTTATCTTAATACCAAATTTTTAGAATTTTATCACTATCCCGTCACTTTTAAACTACTATTCATAACTTCTGATACAATTGTAATACACATTTCCGAAACCACATCCATATATACGGGCTAGACGTAAACTCGCGGTTTACCTGATACCAAATACATTTCCAAATTTCAGATTTAAAGCATTATCTCATCACCCAATACCAAACTGTAGCAAATATTGTACTATTTAGTACTTTTCGTGCACTTCTAGTACGCATTTCCGAAATCACTTCCTTATCACAAAGCTATCACCAACAGGGACCTCAATACAAAATTTCAAAATATCAGCTTCATTCGTTCATCCAATTTAGAAGTTCAGTACCATCGACTTATCGACTTCTGGGAGGACTAAACCTCAAAAAACTACGTCATTTCACGGAGCACTTAATCCAGTTCAACTCTGCTGTTTTACAGACGGTTCAAAGTCAGGGGAGCTTTGTTGGGTTTCTGGCCATTGCAACATATCTGGCAATACATTGGTAAGACGTAGTTCCGAGTCAATTGATCCAAAGATTGAAAGCTCGCTGAAGCCACCCTTATATCATTTCTCCAAGTACTGCCCAAATCTTTTTGGTGTAAGACAGAGGCTCATGGATAAGCAAATTCTGCATGACGTGTCTTCATTCTCCGATACCGACCCAGTAGCTATTTCTTAGTTAGCCAGAAGACTAAAATGACTAAAATCGATACGATCTCTTTGTGGGTATTCCTCACTTCATTACTAATATTCTAAATTAGGATGAATACAATGGACCAGCAGATCTCCGGGGGAGCGGTTGTTATAAGCAACCGCGCATCCTTTAACCTAATCCAACATAGAAGAGAGAATAATGCTAGGCCACTTAATCGAGGACCAGGCGACTGAAATCTCTCTTCTATGGTTCTCAAAACGGAAATCCAAGCAATCACAGAAACTCTGAACTGGTTTAGTACTAACACAAGATCAACAACTGTACATATCCTAACGGACAGTATATTCGACATCACGACAATAACAGCTAATATAGTAAAGTCAAGAACCGTGTTGAACTACTCTCTACAACACAAGATGGACAAATGATGTCTCAGCAACAACTGGTGCTAAATATGTAATTTAAGGCCTCACAGCTACTGCACGTGAACAAGGCTTTAATGTGGAAGACTAATGGTGGAAATACATAAAGCGCATATTTGGCTGGCATAAGTAAGTAAGTACTGATTCAAACCACACCGTTAAGTCTTATTCGGAGGAGGCCCATGGAGTAGCTGAAACAGAGTGTAATGAGTTCGCTGCGAAAATAGCAGAAAATACTATCAAAGATGAAAGATTTAGAATAGACGAGGCCATTACTAAAGTTAAAATATTTGGGGAAGAACAAGAATTAAATCCTTAAAACTTAAAGGGGCGGTTATCAACCACTGCAGAATCCAAGTGTAAAAGCGACAGAAGGAAAACGATATATAAAGGGGCTAGGAACTTCAAGAGATACTGGCTAGAAAAATGGAGGAACTTTCTGAATGCTGTAACTTAACTTTTTTTCTCTTTAAATACCAGTTTTCTCTTTTAATGTCAGTTTTCTCTTTAAATACTAATTTTTTTGTCACTGCGCAGCGTTCACAAATTTTAAGAGACAGTTCTTAATAAGAGATACACTCCCACATCTCGGACATGTCTGGAGAACCAACCACAACAATATGTTTTCAGTAGGAATATACATCCTTTCTCCACACACCAATTACCAATAATGCGCACAACAGGCCGAACTTCAGGCTTATGTGTATGTCGGCAAGGACTTGTGGCTACTCAGACTCGAACCTTTTTTTTAATCTCTCCTAATCTAATTCGACTTATTCTATTAATTCAAATTGAAAATAGAATAATTTGAATGAATAAAAACCTACTGGAGTACGAAAGTGGGATGTGGTTAATAAGCATTTTTTTGTGACATTTTCGGTCCATTTTCCCCCGTAGATTTTCGGGGAAGAGATTTAACTATCAAAGTCGAACTACACCGAGTTAAGATACTCTACATGTTTACTTCAATTGGTAGATTGAGACCTGGTTGATATGTGATTTCAAGAAAACAGTCCCAAATAGCTTGTGAAACATTGAACCTACTGAAGGATGCATTTGGAAATAGCCACACCAGTTGTAATTGGACATCTCTTGACTCTTTCTTGTGGATTTATATAAAATCGTTGGTCTATATGGACAAGTCCAACAAGATTGAAGGTTAAAGGTCAATACACAGTCAGCGCTTCGCTTCATTTGTTCGCCTTGTGCATTTCAAATTATAAAGGTATAGCAGAGTCTGAATATCTGTAAGTCTGACGACGTTGCCGTTTATGAGCAAGAAATGCGATTCTATTTTACAGGTCTACCTTAATATTCGGCGGGGCATACAAAAATATTCAACTCCCCACTATAATGAAATACTTAGTACGGACCTATTACCCAAATACGCCCTGTCACATTCTGCTTGTTAAGTTTTCATTTACTAGGTTTTTTCTGGGCCTCAGGTTAGGAGTACACTCCAAGAATTGGGAATACCCGGCAGATTTTCGACCATTTTTGAAGCCAAATAAAAACCTACAACGGAAACCCTGATACTAATTTATCTCTTCTCACTCTCTTCAACGATCCCTTCCCTCCCTCTCTCTCTCCCATCCATTTTACGTATATTTACAACAAATTTCAAATACACATGCTTGCGGCAAGAACAGGAAAAAGAAGAAGACGCGAAGGCAAAGCAAGCAAAAAAATACCCCAAACGAAAAGAGAAAAAAAAAAACGATCGTTCAATGCGAAAAAAGTAGATAGCGGTTAGATAACACACAATCTATGGATTTTTTCCTCAATGAAAATTCTATAAAATCACCTCCCTTTGAGAACAGGAAAATTCCTTTGACTTACCTTGAGCAGCGATTTCGGGGGAGCATCGGCGGGATCGGGTCGTTTGATGTTCAAAAATGAATTACGCACATCGGGACATTTTTCAAACATGAGAACACGTTCGGCAACGGAACCACGAGTCAGGAAGGGACTGCGAACTGGAAAAGAAGTGACGATCAAAAACATAAAGAAATAATTCTCAATGACTTGGTGGTGACTTACCGGCTTTTTCCTGGCCATTGGTCAAGGGCCGTGTCGATTTAAGTTTTGTGGGTGTTAAGATGCTGCTGCCATTCATGGTGCTGCTACTGCTACTGGCTGGAGGTGTTGTGGATTTTGTGGAGTCTACGGTATCTAAGTTGTCCCGGGATTCTTCGCTGACAGATTTGGCTGATTTATGTGCTGCTGCTGCTGTGGATGTGACTGTGGAATCCTTGGTTTTGGAAGATTTTGTTGTGGATTTCGTTGATTTGCCGACACTTTTTTCTAATTTTATAACGGTATTGGCATTTGTGCTATTGGCATTGGCGTCTAATGATTCGCTTGCCTTCAATTCCGTTTGAGTTTTTTGTGGTTCAGCTGTTTTTTGCCTTAGATCTGTCGATATCAGAGGTTCTGTAATGATCGTGGCACTGGTATTCGATAATTGGCTCTCGAGCACACCATTGCTGAGAGGCGATGAGGGATTTGGTGTTGTTGTTGTGGGGGAAGAGGAGGAGGAGGTTCGTTTTTTATTCACCGTCGTATTACTATTGCCTGTATCTTTATTCTTATCGGATTTTCTAATCGATTTATCGGCCACAGATGTAAGCAGTGGCGAAGATTCTGCGAGAGTTTTATCAAATGGTTCTAAGGTATTTAGTAGCTGATTGACAACCTCCTCGACCGGATGTTGGCGTGTAACTTTGGTTTTCGTTGAGGAAACTTTTTTGCCGGCAAGGGCCTCAACACCACCACTACCCCCATTGCTAGACGATTTCTTTTGGATTTTTGTGTTGATTTCCTTTGGCAGATCTTCTTTGAGTAGGGTGGCGCCCAACGTGGAACTGGAGTCTGGAATTTTCTTATTATTACTATCCAAACTGGGGGATTTTTTCACCTTAACTTGCTTGCTGGCCACCGACCCGGCGGAATTGGATTTTTCAATGATAACCGAGGGAATTTTAGTGTGACCTTTCAAACCTCCTGTCGTGGCCGTCTCCTGCTGTAATAGTTCCTTGATTTTTTGTAAATTCTCACTTTGCTGCAATGTCAAGGCTGGTATATCCAAATTCAAATCCAAACTAATATCGAAATTTAGATCCAAGGTCTTGGAGGGACTGCTAAGTTTGGAGGCAGATGATTCTGCTCCAGCTTTAGAGGGTGATTTCAGTTTTGTTGTCGTGGCAGTACTGGGTTTGGTTAGTTCTAATTCTGCTTCCAAATCAGCCAAACGGCTGCTAACTTTGTTGTTCAACAGAAATCCAGATGTAGCCAATTTGGAGGGAGTGGTAGAGGAGGAGGGGGTGGAATTTAGTTTTGTTGTGGAGTTGGAGGTGCTGCCGCTTTGGGGTGTGGTGACAGCTGTTGATTTTTTTAAATTTAAACTGTCGGCAGATTTATCCAAACTATTTGTGCTGGCCGCCTTGGAGGTGGTAAGGGAAGGGGAGGTGGAGGAGGAACTATTATTTATGTTTTGCTTGGCAGAGGGTGAGGGGGAACGTTGCCGTTTCGTTTGTGTGCTACTTAATTTTCCCTCCCCCTTATTTGTGGAAGATGTTGTCTTCCCTACCCCTCCAGCCAATGGACTGCTGCCCATCACCTTGCCAGCCGGGCTCTTAACTCCCCTCTGCTCCTTGTCTTTGATGACAAAAGAGTTGACCAATTTGTGTAGACCCTCGGTGCTCTTGACATCCTCTGTTATGGAGCCGGTGGCCGCTGCAGCCTCAGCTGTATAAATATCCAAGATTTCGGTGGGGGCAATGCCATGGCTTTTCCAGGTGCGATACAAGGCATCGGCATGTTCGGAAATTTTCTTGGAAATTTCCTCAATTTCCAGAGAAGTTTGTAGATCTCTTCCACCTCCAATGCCGCCACCACCCGTTATTGTGGATCCATTGTTGAGCATGATGGGCACATTGGTGACATGGGGTGTTGTTTTTGTTTTCCCAACACCTGGTTTGCTGGGTTGCATTAACTTGGTGCTGTTGCTGTTGTGGAGGCCGGATGATTTACTGCTGCTCGATGTTTTTGCGGAGGAGGAAGAGGAGGAGGCCACTGATGCCGTTGATGACTGCATCTTAAGGCGTTTCTTGTTTCTCCTTCTTTTGGCTCTTTAATTGTTATTGTTGTTCTTATTTAATTTTAATTCTTGCAAAATTTAGGTCGTCTTTTGGCGATTTTTTTCGCATTCACTTTTTTCCTCTTTAAACTTCCTTTATTTGTTGACTTTTCACATTTTCACCAAAAACCATTTTTTTTTGGATTCCACTTTTTTCTCTCGTTTCAATTCAAATCACTAACATTTCGTGGTTCCTTTATTCGCTTCGTATGGCTGGCGTAAATTTTCGCGTATTTTTTTCTACACGTTTTTGTTGTTGCTTTTGGTATTCGTTTATTTTGACGTAGTTTTGTTGATGTTGTTGCTGTGTCTGTTTGTGTTTTTTACTTTTTTTCGTTCTATTCGCGTTCCCGTTAGCGAAAATCTATTTTTAAGAGAACATTTTTCGAAAAAAAAACCAAGAAAAATTAAAATGAAAATTCCTATTTCAGCCTTTTTAATTTAGCACACACACACATTGGCGCGGAAAATGGTTTTTCGTTTTTCTTCTGGTTTTCATCAAAAGAGCACTGAACGTTGTTGGGTAGATGGCTTTTATTTTAACAGTGCCAAGGGGCCAAAGCGCCGGGGAAAACGAGGGAAATTAATTCACTTTCAGTTTAAATTTTAATTCTTTTTTGGTTTGTTTGAAATATTTTTGCCGGTAGAACGTAGGAAAAAAACATAAATTTTAATACAAAGTTTTATTTAAATTTTTGGTGAAAAAAGAGAATTTTTTGTTATAGAAAACCATATTAATTCTAATTTTTTAACATTTTTTTCCTTTTGAATAGCTTTTTAACTCTCCTGAATACGCAAAGTTACCTAAATGAAGGGGTAAGATCCCCCACATTTTTGGAAATTCTCAGATTAAGATTCTTCGAATTCCGTGCATTTTAGGTATATAGTGTATTCGGCAATGCTGCAGATAAATATACGATGTATACTAGTGTAAAACTTTAACACCCAAACGAGTTAACAAATCGGTGTTTTTGAGGGGGGTGGTTGAGGCGTTGAAGTTTTGACTGAAGTTGAAGTTTTACTTAGACCGAGTTCGGAGATGGACAATATCGGCCCACTCCTTCTGGTACCTCCCCCACAAAATGTTTACATTTTCAAAGAAAATAATTTACTGCACAGAAAGAGAAAGGATAATCCGATTTTGATCCAACTTTGCATATCCTAATATTTACTTCAGTGCTAAGTCAGGATAATATCAGTCCACTCCACTCCACTCCGCTCCCCCACAAGCGGTCAAAATATGGAATAATTTGGAATAATTAACTCTGGGTCTGGTATGAAGATATATTCCATTCCAGATATATTCCATCTTCACATGTTCCATCTTCACTCCACTCCTTGCGTCAAAATTTTGAATATTCATGAAGCTCATAAAACAAGAAATTTAAATCCGATTCCATTTAGACTTGGCACATCTCAATATTTCCATCAACACAAGGTCTGTTAAAAATATGGTAGAGATCGGACCATTCCTTCTGGTACCTAATATTTTGAATAACCAAAACGTTCATAAAATCTGAAATAAGCACACTGTTGTCTTCAAATTACACACATCACAATACTTTTGTTAGCCCAAAGTCTGGTGTGAAGATGGAATATATTGTTGCACTCCTTTTGGTACCTCCCCCACAAAGTGTCAACATTTTGAATATCCATGAAGATCATAAAACGCGAAAATATTCTGATATGAATATGTAATTTATCGAAATTTATGATTTCGCATAAAATTGGATATAAATGTTGTATATTAAGATAAATTAATTTAGTTAAAGTAGATTTTTGTGGGTAGGTGATATTGCCAATCTCCGAACTCAATAAATGTTTGATAATAATATTACGATGTACTAAGTTTGGACCAAATCGGATACTCCTCACGAGAGTTATCGTGCGCGTCATCCAGGTAGACGTACACCCCTAGATCGATTCCAAATGTCATGAAACAGATTTGGCCCAATGAGATATAGGGTCTAAAACCCTTTTTATATAAGGCACGTTTTGACCGTATCAAAAGATATATGGCTGATATATGGTATCGATATTCTTAGGAAGCTACGTAAATATAAATTAAAGTCGTTAAAAAATATTCTTCAAAAACTCTAATATTCTACCTTTGCTATTCCTTCAAAAATATTCTGAAATAATCTATAATTTCTATAGCTGTTAAAATCCCTAAAAAATATACCAAACAAAATTCAAAATTCTATCTCCGATAGTCTTTAAAAAAATTCTCAAGAAAATCCAAGATTCTAATACCGATAGTCCTTCAAGAAATGATCCCAAAAATACTAGCTCCGATTTTACTTAGAAAATTCTTTAAAAAACAAGTTTCGAATTCAATATATAAAAAATTTCCATAATCCAACATTCTGATAGTACTTAAAAATATGCTTAAACATCCGCGTTAGCAGATTTAAAAAATTAAAAATTATTCTTAAAAAAAAATAAACATAAGGCTTTGATAAAAGTTTCTTGAAACTTCACTACTTCTGCTGTTAAAGCCCTAAATATATATAAAATGAAAAACAAGTTAAAAAGCAGTAAGTTCGGCCGGGCTGAACTTTGAATACCCTCCCCCATTTGGAACGAATTTGGAAATTTTCAAAAAATAAAATCCTTAAAAAATTCTGTTAAAATTTTAAAAATACCGAATATATCTGTTATATTAGGGTCTATACGACATGGACCTACATAGGCCTTGTTTTTCATAAGCCATTGCCATATTGAAATTCGAAACTTGAAATAAATGGTGAATAATGCAGCTAAAATCATCAAAATATCGTATATGGGGAGGTACGGTTATATCGGAGCTGTGCGAAGACCTGGACCAGCATAGACAATTTTCTGTCGAACAGAACGAACGAACTTCAAATACATCTCAAAAAATTTCGGTGGGTATTGTACCTACCGAATATAGGGAGGTACTGATATATGGGGCCTATACGAAGACCTGTACCTGCATATACAATTTTCTGTCACAGACTCTAGTTTCCATTACGAACTCTAAATACGTAATTTGAAACAATTCCGTTGAATAATGTCGCTAAAATCATCAAAATACCGAATATCGGGAGGTACCGTTGTATGGGGGCTATACGAAGACGTGGACCTGCACAGATAATTTTCTGTCATAGGCTGTAGTATCCATTTCGAACTTCAAATACCAAAGTTGAAACAATTCCGGTGAATAATGTCGCTAAAATCATCAAAATACCGAATATCGGGAGGTACTCATATATGGGGGCTATATATATACGAACTTAACCTGCCTACTGGAAAAATAAACACGTTTGCAAAATTTTAGTCTTCTATCTCAATTCGTTCGTGATTACAACAGACAGACGGACATGGCTAAATCAATTTAGAATTTTACGCTGATCAAGAATATATATACTTTGTTGGGCCTGTCATGAGTATTTCGAGGAGTTACAAACGCAATGACAAAGCTAATATACCCTCCATAGTATGGTGGAGGGTATAAAAATAGGAAACACTCTAGCTCCGATAGTTTTAAAAATTTAAAAAAAATGTCTTACTCCAAAAAAATACAAGATTCTAACGCCGATAGTCCTTTAAAAATGTTCCCTAAAAACACGAATTTACTTCACTGAAAATCTCTTTAAAATTTCGTTTTCCTTGACAAAAGCCACGTTTAGAAAATTATACTTTTCCATAAAAGCCGTTTGCATCGTGTGTTCAAATTTTTACATTTTTCTTGCACATGTCAGACTTTGCTTATTTTTCCAAAAAAAAAAAAAAAAACACAATATAATTTATTTCCATTTTGTGTATATTAAAATTTGGAATATTTTCCATTTCATTGCCGCTGCTGAACGTTTTTGTTTGTTTTCTTTTGGCAAAGCAAAGAACAACGTTTTTCACAGAAGTTGAAAATTTTATTGATAAGCTCTCGAATTTTCGCACTTTATTAATTTTATATATTTTCTGCTTTTGCACTACCACCAAATTCCTTTCGACGAAATGGAAAAAACAATACAAACAAATAGCAACAAAAGAAATGTGAAATGTTTATTTTAACACAATTGATATTTACAAACTTTTGAGTGGCGAACAAATATATATTATAGTTTAGGAAATTAGGTTTTTAATTATTATTTTAATTATTTTTTTTATTTTTTTTTGAATTTTTGAAATTTAGTTTTATTTTATTATATTATTGTATTTGTTTCATTAAGATTTTTTGAGATTTTCCACTTTTTATAAGAACAATATTTAATTTGTTACAAATTAATATTTTGATTTATTATTTTTTCATATTAACAATTTTTGGTCATTTTGTATAATTTTTTAATAAATATTTTTAAATTTTAATTTTGCCACATATATATTTTATTGTTTTCATTTCATTCAAGTATTTCATGTTAATCGAATTTTTTTCTATTTTTACAATAAAAATATTTTGATAATCTAAGATAATTGTTTTTTATTATAACTATTTTTATTTTTGCTATAATTTTTATATTTTTATTTTTATATTATTTATTTGTTGACAATTTTGTATCGTTGTTATTTTTATAATTATTATTATTTTATATAAAATAATTATTTCATAGTGTTTTATGTTGTTATACCCTCCACCATTGTATGGAGTCTATATTAAGTTTGTCATTCCGTTTGTAACACCTCGAAATATACAATTTAGGCCCCACAAAGTATATATTTTATCGATTTAGACCGTCTATCCGCCTGTCCGTTTTGTTTTTTTTTTTCAAAAATCGTTGACAATTTTGTGGTTTATAATTATGTTTTTCTTCTTCTTCTTCTTCTTATTATTATTATTATTATTATTATTATTATTATTATTATTATTATTATTATTATTATTATTATTATTATTATTATTATTATTATTATTATTATTATTATTATTATTATTATTATTATTATTATTATTATTATTATTATTATTATTATTATTATTATTATTATTATTATTATTATTATTATTATTATTTTATATAAATGAATTATTTAATATTGAACGAAAAGTTGTACGTTGTTTTCTTAAAATGTTATTATTTTATATAAATAAATTATTTTAACCACTTTTATTATTACAAGGATTTTTTTTTAATTTGTTGACAAATATTACTATTCACGGACTCATTTTTTTAAACTATGTAATTTATTTTAATATATTGTTTTATTTATTATAATGTAATGATCAAAAATGGTTGTCAATTTTGTAAAATTATTATTATTACTATTATTATTATTATTATTATTATTATTATTATTATTATTATTATTATTATTATTATTATTATTATTATTATTATTATTATTATTATTATTATTATTATTATTATTATTATTATTATTATTATTATTTTATATAAATGAATTAGTTCATATTGATCGAAGAGTTTTAAATTGTTTTCTTATATTATTATTATTATTTATTAAAAAATCGTTTACTACTTTGGCAAAGATTATTATTCACGGGTTCATATTAATTTATTATTTCATAATTAATTTTAATATATCACATTTTGTGCTCAATATTTTATTATTTTAAATTAGTTGATGAGGAGTGCTCTATATATTTGTCATATAGCCATTTTTTAATGTTTTTAATATTATATTATTATTTTTTGCACATTTTCTTTTATATATTATTTCAATTTAACACATTTAATTTTTTTTTTAAACAGGTTTTTCAATATTTTTTGTAGTTATGAATTGTGTTTAACTTTTTTTTTGATTTTTTGGCAATCTACCCAACCAACGTGTATGTGCCCACAATTTCCACCTCTTTGGGGTATATATGTTTTTTTTTTTTTTTTTTTTTTTTTTGGTGAACAACTTTTCCGACGATGTTTTACCGTAATTTTTCCCAATATTGACGTGCGAACGTTATGAATTCTCCGTGCTTTATGAGATCAATTTGAAAAACTCACGCATGTTTTTGGCTGCTGGCGACCAAATTGGAAAACATGCTTTTTTGGGAGCTCTTCAGATATTCAGCCATTTAAAATCGAAATACAGTTTCTCTAAAGGAAATTTTCTTTTCCTGGTTCTCCTCGCAACGCTTTGATGTCAAAACAAATTCAGCTATTTTAAGATGAACGAACTGAAAAGATCAGCAATCTCAGTGTTAATTTCTCAACAAAATGAGACTAGTCTCTCTCGGCGTACACTCTCTCACTACTCACTTACACCAGAGTCTAATATGAGCTATTCGAAGAGATTTTTCACGGCAATGATGAAGGGACTATTGGCCATAATTTAATTTTACTGATTGATTTAGAATCCCCTTTTTGTTAAGTATTTAAAATATTTAAACTATTTTTAAAAGGGGGAATATTGGAAAAGAAAGAGGGAAAGGGAACCATAATTTTGATAATGCATTCAACATATTCTGTATTTATAGATGTTATGTGGAAAGAGTTTAAAAGATCTCTGGGAAGTAACCTAACGATAAAAGGCACATAACTTAAAGTAAAGTCCCTGGAACCAGAAATAGGTCCTTATCAAAGATCCTTATAAATTTCAAAGCTCTATCCTCAATATTGATAAACATATCTGAAACTATAGGGGTCCCTTTGTATATGATCAAAACTATAAAAAGCCTTAACAACATTTGGTCAAAGAACCCAGAACTCCTTTGGGGTTTCCTTTAAAATAAAAGGTGCTATCGAGGCGACTTGGCATTTTCCACAACCCAGACTGGTTTCTGTACAGTGAAATTATAAGAAACGAACTAGGGAATAATCCTGATTTTTTCAGAAATAAACAAGGTTTTTTATTAACAAAATATATGCTATTTTTTCATGGTAAATATTAAATATACAAATTTCCTTTGTTCAGAGGCTTGCATTGAAATTTAATCTAGAAAAATTCTTGCTTTGACACATTCCCCAAAAAATGAAGTATAAAGGGAATTTTCGACACGGACTGGATACGTATTAAATTAACAGTAAAAAGGCAAAGACAGAATTTTTACATTTAGTTACATACATTATGTATGTAATTTTCATAAAACTCTTGTATATAGAATATAATTTATTTTGAGATTTATAGTGAATTTTTGTGTAGAATATTTCTTTTATCGAGATCGTTCGCCTAAAACGAAATTTTATGTAACATTCCTGCGTCAACTCGAAAAAGTACTTGGAAAAACATTAGGAAATATTTTCCGTTTTTTTTAAACTGGATGCAATTATTTTTTGAAATGAAAATAGAGTATTCTTTTCTTCGGTGACTAATAGTAAATTTTGATCAAGAATATGTATGTCTTTAAAGAATTTAGTATTCCAGGTGAAAAAACATAGTTCTGATTTTATACCCTCCACCATACTATGGAGGGTATATTAACTTTGTCATTCCGTTTGTAACTCCTCGAAATACTCATGTCAGACCCATCAAAGTATATATATTCTTGATCAGCGTAAAATTCGAAGTCGATTTAGCCATGTCCGTCTGTCTGTCTGTCCGTCTGTCTGTTGTAATCACGCTCCCTTTCGAACGAATTGAGATAGAAGGCTAAAATTTTGCACACGTGTTTATTTTTCCAGTAGGCAGTTTAAGTTCGTAAATGAGCCATGTACGTTTTCATATACCCCCATATAACGGTACTTCCCGTTATTCGGTATTTTGATTATTTTAGTGACATTATTCACCGGAATTGTTTCAAATTTGGTATTTGAAGTTCGAAATGGATACTACAGCCTAAGGCAGAAAATTGTCCGCGCAGGTCTACGTCTTCGTATAGCCCCCATATAACGGTACCTCCAAAAATTCGGTATTTTGGTGATTTTAGGGACATTATTCACCGGAATTGTTTCAAATTTGGAATTTAAGATTCGTAATGGATACTACAGCCTATGACAGAAAAATGTCTGTGCAGGTTCACGTCTTCGTATAGCCCCTATATAACGGTACTTCCCAAAATTCGGTATTTTGATAATTTTAGCGTCATTATTCACCGGAATTGTTTCAAATTATGTATTTAGAGTTCGTAATGGGATCTATACCCTGTGATAGAAAATTGTCTATGCAGGGAGAGGTCTTCGTATAGGCCCCATATACCAGTACCTCCCTATATTCGGTATTTTGACGAGTTTATGTACAATACCTACCGAAATTGTTTGAGACGCGTATTTGAAGTTCGTAATGGATGCTATAGCCTATGACAGAAAATTGTCTATGCTGGTTCAGGTCTTCACACAGCTCCGATATAACGGTACCTCCCTATGTACGATATTTAGATGATTTTAGCAACATTATTCACCGTTTATTTCAAGTTTCGAATTTAAATATGGTAATGACTTATGACAAACAATGCCTATGTAGGTCCACGTCGTATAGACACCAACATAACGGCTATATTCGGTATTTTTAAAATTTTAACAGAATTTTTTAAGGATTTTATTTTTTGAAAATTTCCAAATTCGTTCCAAATGGTGGAGGGTATTCAAAGTTCGGCACGGCCGAATTTACTGCTTTTTAACTTGTTCTCATTTTACTCATTTTTATGTTAGTGGATTTTTGATTAATAGCATGATACAGCTGATACAGCTTCTACCATTTTTGTGTTTGCAATGGATGATTTTTAGCTATAATCTTTTTGGCAACTGCTTTCTTGTATTGCAAACTCAATGGGATTCTAGATCCTACAAATATGTTTCTTTAACCAAACTTATTTCAACGATTTTCTTTTGAAGAGTATCTTATCTTTTTAACGCACATTACTTTTGTTATTATCTCTCTCAGATGACGTTCAGCATCAGCATTAACACTTTTCACTCTCACTTTCAATCACAACTGTATTAATGAGATTTTATTTCACTTTTTCAATTTCTCAACGAATACAATTTCCAGATAAAACTTCTAACGCATTTCTTTTTCAATCATTATTTTTCAATCCTCTTTCCACTAATTTTATCATTTTCATTAGAAGATGATGATGACTTGTTACTCCACACAATTGATTACATTTATTCGATTTATATTTTCCGTATGACCCGGCGGAAGACAATCATTCGATGGACCACTAGAGAGAAACAACGCATTGTTGCGTCGGTCGGCCGTTCGCTAAAAAACTGATCAAGGCGTTTAGAACAACTAAACATCTGTTTTAAATTTTCGAACAAAACTCATTACGCCGCAACAACAACAACAACGTCAACATTAACATTTTTGCATTCACAGACAAGAACGGAGGCGCGCGTTTGGGATGTTGGCGTCCGGCGAGATACGAGACAGCAACGGTACATTCTTACATCTCCCACATCCGTTGATGTTTTGATGTTTAGTTGATTCTATTTGTCTCACTCTCTTGATCTTGCACATACACTCTTTCCGCCCATCATCATCTCAGCATCATCACATCATACACTCTGACAATAGTTCTCTGCGTGCTTCGTTTTTTTTTCTTTTGTATTAATATTCTGTCATATTTTTGCTGTCAGCTCTTGTTTTTGTAATGAGTGTGTGCGTGTGTGGGGGGATAAGAGAGTGGATACTCAAAACTATTTGCTTTGCTCTCCCCAATCATGTTCAATTGTATTTATTTTGGTTATCATTGATTGCTGCTGCTGCTGCTGTTGTCATTGTTGTCTTTTCGTGTGGTTGCTGTTACTACCGTTGTTGTCGACTTCTTGTTCTCCCACTTGTGTTTGGCGCGCGAGTCAAGTGAGTTGTTGTTGTTGCTGTTGTTGTTATTGCTCATTTACATTTCAATTTCATTATTCGACATTTGCACAAAACGCGCCAGTGGAAGTGAATTTTATTTATAATTCTATTCTGTATTGCGTTCATGCTATGTTGTTGTTATTGTTGGTGCTGGCGTATGATCGTACTTCTTTATCCATGGATTCGTGTGTCTGTTCAAATAGACATTTTTTGTTACAGCCGAGGGCCAGTGAATTGAGATGACAGGTTTTGCAAACATTGAATATCATTTACTGTAATCATATGCATATACCGAATAACTGATATTAGCTTCGCAAAAGTGAAGGCGTTTCAAAAATTTTACAAATTGTAGATACGTTTTTTATGTTAATGCTAATGCCTGACCTGAAACATATATCTTTGGCATTTATATGAATTTCGATAAATGGATTAATGGAGCAATACAATTTGGATCGAAGTTTTCGCAAACGATTGATTTTCTAAATGACAATCCAAGAATGGCGTCCAATTGCAAATTTGTTTGTTCAAATATCAGATAATTTGAGTAGCATAACTGAAATTTGAATAAGAGTGAAGCCCAAAGGAAAATAAGCTGAAATCACAACAAATGAAATTGCCTCCGTCACCTTAGAAGCTGACCAGTAGTATGTGTAAAATTATTTGAAAAGCCAACCATTCTCTGCTGCCGAAAAATAAAAAGATAACCGGAAATAGAAAGTGGCCAACTCATATGCAAAATGACAGTGTTGCCAGCCACGAATTAAATTAAAGCGAAAATGCAATTCTGTACAATGTGTAGGGATCTGTAGGTGCGTATAAAGTAAAAAACAAATTGACGATAAAATATATAAGACGGGCATCGTTTTCATCTTCAAATCGTTAACCCTCAACGGAGTGGGTTCCGAAGGAATAGACCAATATTGTCCATTTCGTATTGGACCTAAATAAATATGATATAAATATTGCGACGTCCCAGGTTTAAACTATATTTTTTACTTCCATCATTTTATATGAGATATGTGATAATTTTTAGAAAATATTAAAATGTGCGTGAGATACCAGATACAGGCGACCGAAATATTAAATTTTCACACTTCATATAATTCAGATAAAAATATTGGTTCTGGGCAAACTTACAATAACATCGAACATTTATATCCAATTTTTTGCGACATCATAAATTCCATATTTATCTCAAGTTTCCAGTTGAGAGAAATTTTTAGATATAGCAAGTTGTAAAGACTCGCCGACTTGTTTCGCAAAGTTATGACAGCTAAAAGTATTGAAAATTGTGACCCTTTGTGGGTGACAGATCTTGTGTTGATAGAAATAATGAGATGTGCCAAGCCTGAATGAAATCGGATGTTAATTTCGCGTTATATGAGCCTCATGGATATTCCAAATTTTGAACCTTTGTGGGGGAGGTGCAAGAAGGAGTTGGCCGTTACCTCCCATCTTTACAGCAGATCTTGTAGAAATAATAGGATGTGTAAAGTATGAAGAGAACCGGATGCTTATTTCGGATTTTATAATCGATTTGGTTATTCAAAATTTTTACCCTATCTTCACACCAGACCTTAAGCTAATAAAAATATTGTGATCTGTGTAATTTGAAGACAATGGGACTCTTACATCACATTTTCAAAGAGTTATAAATACATCAGCGCTAGATGTTAATATTAAGATTTGCAAAGTTGGAGTAAAGTCGGTGGCCATTGTGCTCTAGAAATGAAGAGAGGAAGATTATTTTGTACACATTCTTGGGTGGCGCGTACTGATTCCTGTTGGAATGTCCAAGGCCTGCGGCCAAAATATTTGGGTGCCCAAGGCTTTAATACACCCTCCAGAATATTTTCGCGATAATATTCGGCATTTGTTCTGATGCCACGGTCGATTAATACGAGCAGAGAGCTACAATCGGCTGTTATGGCGGCCCACACCATCACCATGGCCGTCGCTTAAGTTCTGGTGGCCAACCGAAGGTGCACATTTTACGATGACCTCTTTGGCAAGTAAGCACGATCATTTTGTTGGTTTACAAACTGCTGGACATCGAATATTTTCTCATCGGAGAAAACCAAATTCGACAGTTCACCACTTTCGGCCAAGCGAAGCTACTCTTTAGCTCTTTTGGGTCTATTTTCTTTCCGGTGCGGTGTAAGTTCTTGCACTTTTTGGAATTTCAATGGCTTTACCCCGAGCTCATCTTTCAATATTTGCCGAATGGAATATTGCGATATGTTCAGCTCACGAGCCATTTTTCGGCCATTGCGACGCGGGCTTCGATCAAGTCGCTCCTTTACTTTTCGAACCAATTCTGCTGATGTTGCTGTTTTCTTCCGTCCACTTCCTTGACGTCGGGCTACACTACCAGTACCACGGTAACGAGCGATGGTACGAGACACAAATGATTTATTCACATTTAAATGCTGGAGTGCTCTAACGATAGCCACTTTTTCACTTTGTTTTTGCAGCCAAATATAAAGAAATCACACTATCACGCTTGAATTCCATCCCGAAAAACTTTTTTCTGGAAAATAAAATGCTTTCGTACGCTTGTTAACAATATAATGAGGTGTAACTGGAATAATTTTAACAGCTGTCGGACGAGTGTCTTAGAAATGATAGCAGTCTGAAGTTGGTTAAAGTTTTTTCATCTCACCATGTAGATAAATATAAATTTCTCTTTATTTTTTTTTAATTTTTTTTTTTTTTATTTCGAAAATTTATTTATTACATAACTAAAAGAATACATTTGTAAATGTATGCGTATTTTCATGTTTTTTTTTTTAATCATTAAATGGTAATATAAAAGAACATTGCTATTTTTTATTTAGGTTTTTTGTTTAATTTTATTATTTTTTTGTGAACCTATTTAAAAATATATTTTTAATTATACTGATTTTTGTTCTAACAAAATTGTATAATTACAAATATTTATTTTTCATTTTTTTCGCATATTATCTAAACTCATTAAAATAGATTTTTTGTTTATTTTCCTATTTCCTAAAACATGACAGGGAGTTGGGGTGGGGGAGAGAGAAAAGGATGACGGAGATTTTGTTCCTATTATTTTTAACAAAACTAAATCAGGAATATCGCAAAATTTATAAGAGACCTTCGGTTTGTAACAATGAAATCAAAAAAAAAAAAACTTCTTATGATTATTTTGGGTAGAAATGGATTTTTTGTTCTTTTTGTTGTTATTTATAAATACAGACTAATTAATATTTTTTTTTTTCAAATCGTCGTTTTCGCCAATGAAAACTTAACTCTACTCTCTACTAAGTAGGCAAAGAACAGTGTAATAAGAACCAAAGAATTTAGAAAGGAAGGATAAAAACTTTTAACAATTGAATGTTGGAACTGTAGTGTGTGGCGCCCAATTAATCGCATTCCAATTCGTTTACTGCGTTGCACGAACTTTTGTTGTCTCACTATCTTCACTGTCATCTGTGGTACTTTCATTACTGCTATTGACATTTTCATCCTTACGTATGTAGATGGGTGGCGATTGACCCTTAACACAGGCCGAAGTTATATGTACAGTCTTGATATCGGAGCCGGGAACTTCGAACATGGGATCGAGTAAAAGTTGTTCCTGTAACGGGAAATAAAGAAAGTAAAAGTTAATAAAAATACGTCAATGAATTATATGACAGGATAGTCTTTCAAGAAAATTTAGAAAATTCATATGGGAGTGATATGGAAGAGTTGATAGATTTAACTATTTTAAAATAAGACGTAGAAGCTCTTCTAAAATAAAATCAGAAAATATATTAGAAGACCAGAACGGCATTCTCAGAAATCGTATAACAGTTAAAAGAGTTCTGGTATAGAGTTGGTATAGAGTTGTAGAACGGCCTGAAAAAACAACGTTAATTGGCATTGGCGGCCATTTGGAAATGATTCTTATAAATCCACTTTTAACGATCAGTTCGTGCTTTTGGTGTAGCTAGGCCTTTATAAAATGTTTTCGATTTTTGAAAAATATTCTTCAGATCCATTGAAAAATATTCCTGTGAAAAATATTCTGGTCCATTGAAACATATTTTTAAAAATCCGCGACAATGTTGGCTTATTTGAATTGAATTGTATAAAATAAATGAAATTAAATGAGACTATTTGCCTGGTTGTTCCATTATAATTATTATTCAAAATCCATCTTTCTTTGGATAGACAGGTCCTTGAAAATATTCTTTAAAATCCACATTTTTTGTCGGTCTCCTTTGTCCATTGAAATATATTCCAATAAATCCCAGTTTACTGTTGTTGGTGTAGATCTTCTGGAGTGAGTTGGGTGGGTATGGCTGTGCAATCAAAGAGGTGCAGCATATTGTGCGGGCCTGTATCACACGCCGGGCAGACGTCACGCACATCTTCGTCAATACGTGCCCAATACGAATTGAGAAGACTACACTATCCTGAATGTAATTGCGCCAAAACTACCCTGGTTCGTCTACGCAGCTGCAATGGATGGGGGTGGACTCCGAGGACGGCATCGGCGACTGCGTCGGTATAAATGCCACTCAGGCCTGCCTGATAGGTTCAATGATCTAGAGGTTCTCTCTTATAGCTTTGGACCTCCCTCTCTAGATCGTGTATGTCCTTCCTGACACACCTGGATGGGGGAGATTTATCCACCATATGATGGTTGGGATGACTCACACGGTAACACCCAAGCAGGTACTGCAACGAAAGCATATGATTATGCTGACGTAAGGGAAGGACACTGGTGTTATGAGGAGGCACCCTGGGTGGTTCTCTGCATGTCCTCAAAAAGTATGGCATGATTGACCGTATCAGTTTTTTGGGCATGGTTGATCCTTTGAAAAATATTCTTCAGAATCCAGGTCTATTAGTCTCGTTGAAAAAATCCTAAAATTCCACGTTTATCGTCGGGTTAAACCATAAAAATTACTCTTCGAAATCCACGTTCTTTGGTCTAGTTGGTCCTTCGAAAAATATTCTGGAAAGTCCATGTCTATTTGCCATATTTATTCTTTAAAAATATTCTTGCTATTCTATTCTTAAACCTTCTCAAAAATCCTACGTTTTTGGAATGGTAGATCCGTTAAAAACTATTTCCCAAAATCCATGCTTTGAAAAATATTTTTCAAAATCCTCATTTATTGGCCTGGTTGATCCTTTAAAAACTATTCTTCAAAGTCCACGTTTATTGGTCCTTGGAAAAATATTCCCCGAAATCCATTCTTATAAAATTGTTGAACCTTTTGAAAATATTCTTCAAAATCTGTGTTTATTGATCAGGGTAATTCTTTCAAAATATTGTGTAAAATCCACGTTTATTGGTCTAGTTGATTTTTTTTTCTTTTCAAATATTATATTCTTTTCAAATCCTCGTTTATTAGCCAGGATGGTCCTGCGAAAAAATCTTTTAAATCCTTTGAAAAAGATTCTTAAAATCCCTTTTTATTGGCCATTATTTATTGGCCCTATTTTGTTTGAAAAATATTCTCCAAAATCCATGTTTATTGGCCATGATGGTCTTTTAAAAAATATTACTCGTCTTCCCCTTAAAAGGCCAAAAATGGGACAGCCTCGACAAAGTGGGGATTCTTAGAAAAAGACTAAAGACACGTAATCGATGAGTCGAGAAGCTCTTTTTTTAAAAAAACGTACAAATGTGTGGAGTAGAAACCCCCCCTAAAAACATCCCAAAATCTCCGCCATAAATAGCCCAAATATTCCTATTCAAATTCTTACCATTATTGAACGTAAACCTCTGGCACCGGTTTGACGTTCCATGGCCAAGGCGGCAATGGCTTTAATGGAGTTCTCTGTAAATGTCAAATCGACATGATCCAAACCGATTAGGGCCTTATACTGGGGAATTAAAGCATTTTTGGGTTCAGTTAAAATGCGAACCAACATATTAACATTAAGGCTGTGGAACGGCACAATAACGGGAAAACGGCCAACGAATTCCTAAAGGAGGAATGAAGAAATTTAGATTGTATAATAGAAAACCCTTAATCTGTTTCTCATACCGGTATCATGCCAAATTCCACGAGATCACGAGCTTGTACTTTTGTCAAACATCTATCACGTTCCTCCTGATCATCGTCCATGGGACTGGCGGCTGATTGGGCAGCACGGCGACCAGACGAGCCGGAAGTGGGAGCACCAAAACCCAAATACTTTAGAAAGAGACATAAACAGGGAAATATGAACAAAAAATGTATTTAGCAAATAATAATGAAAATTATTTGTTTTTCTATACAGACCTTTTCATTGAGCCTTCTTGCAATGAGACGATCCAGCCCGGTGTAGGCTCCCGAGGCAACAAAGAGTATATTTGTGGTATCCACCTGTACGGTTTCACCACGCAGTTTACGCGGTGAATTGCGTTCGGGTACATTGACAATTGTGCCTTCCAACATTTTGAGCATGCCCTGTTGTACACCCTCACCACCAACATCGCGCAACTGATGTATACCAGGGACGGCACCGATTTTGTCTACCTCATCCAAGAACACAATGCCTGTTTGGGCACGTTCCACACTAAAATGAAAAACATATATTAATTCAAGATCAATTTAAAAAAATTATCCACAACTTACTTATAATTGGCATCCTGCAGCAACTTTGATATAACACTCTCAATATCCTCGCCCACATAACCGGCCTGTGTCAATGTGGTACAATCACAGATGGCAAAGGGTACATCCAAACACTTGGCTATGGTCTGGGCTATTAGGGTCTTACCCGAACCGGTGGGTCCCAGCATGATAATGTTACTCTTTTCCAATTTGATTTCATAGTTTTGTTTATCCAAGATCTCCGAGCCCGAATCATGGCCACTATGATGATGTCCACCTGCCCCGCCGGCATTCTGTGCCTGTTTGGGTGGTAATTCAGTACCCGATGAAGCAATGGTGTGACCAATTCCCGTAATATGCAACAAATCAGTTCTCGTGCCCATTGGATCGTTCATCATGCCACCATTCTGTGACATCTGTTGTTGTTGTGGACTCACCTGTGGCAAATTGTGATGTATACGTTTGTAGTGATTGTATACGGCCACGGAGAGAACTTTCTTGGCAAAATCCTGACCCACAACATGTTTATCCAAATATTCCATAATTTTCTGTGGTGGTGGTGGGGGTTTTCTTTGATTTTTTGTTTCTTCTTTGATATTACGTTTTGTATCAACTTCGGAGAGTACGACAAAGAAATGATTGCACTTGGCACATTTGACAAAACGGGTCGAGCTAACAAATGTTTCCACTTGAGTACAGGGACTGCCACATTTTGGACATTGTAAAAAGTTCTTATCATTTGGAGGTTCTCCTGAGCTAGAACCACTATTCGAACCGCCACTACCTCCCGAAGAAGCTGAGGACGAAGAGGAATTACCACCGCCAACAGTACCACCAGCACCGGTACCAATGCCACCACTACCGGCACCGGCAGCATGTGCCAGAGTTATGTCAATTCGTGGATTGGTGGCAATGTGAAGACAACGTGTCGCCAAGGCTGATAAACATCCCGATTGGGCATGATGATTGGGACAATAAAGACCTGAAATGAAAGTAGAAATGGAAAATAAATTTGCAAATTATCTACAAGCTGTATGAACACATAGAGGTAGCAAATAATAGAATTTTTAAGATAAATATATTTCATTTAAAGGATTTAAAAACTGATTGTGGTGGCTTATCATAACAACTGATATGTTCTGCCAAATTTTTAGCAAATTGAGCCTCACTCTTATATGGGGTAAAGATAAGATTTTAGAATCTGGATTAGAAGATGATCTCTGATTGAAAACTGTTCTACAGACGACCGTTGACCCCGATATTCTAGGGGACCGCAATCAAGCAAAGCCGACTTTAAAAAAAAAAGCCAAAACAAAATAAAAATATTTATAGGTCTTAAAAAAATCTGGAAAAATACAATAAGAAATCCACCAGTGCCCCATATCGAAAAGGATGCAAGGGATTTGGACAGGATACATATCGACAAGGATGCAAGGGATTCTACAATATAAACTCTCGCCATTGCAAATAACTCAAATGACCAATGCTCTGACACTGACATCATCCGGTCAAGTAAAACACTTGCTGGGGACCCCTACGCTTAGTTCCCAAAAAGATTGTATCTAAGACCATGGACCTGTAGAAGGTAGTCCAGAGATACGTAGGCAAATCCGTCGAAGAGAATATGTCCATTATGTCGATTGATAGCGCCATTCATAACTGTTGGAACTGTGATCCGGCAATATCCGACAACTTCATTTGTCAATTTTTTTTTTTTTTTTGTGAAAAATCATTTCTGCTTCCCGAAACTTGGAAGGCTTAAATAGGCCTCTTTTCTGTGAATATGTTCAGGTGATCGAGGAAACCCTTAGTTTTCTTAAATTAAAATATGAAGTTTAGAGCTAAAAGACTTCTCTGAGACTATGTCAGAGGTGTGTATTCCCCAATGTTTCTGACAGCTCACTTCTGTCCGAAAAAATTAATATAACCGTCATCTCAACATCTTGGCGTTTAGATGAACTGATCACACCATTGAAGGATTGTTTTTCAAAAAGAAAAAGACAGTACTGGTCAGTCCTTTGTCACCTCATGTAGATGGTCCACTGGTGTCATGAGGAGGCACCCTGTGGCAGGCAGACCTGTATATTCTTCCACTGCGTAGGACTTGTATTCGAAGACCAAAACCTTGGCCGCATAGGGCTTTGTCAGCACCAAAGTTCTGCCGGCTAGCGACTTATGAACTTTGTTGCTCTTTCCAATTTATTGCAAATAATTGTGGATTTCATTGATATCATGTTGTGGACAGACTGGATGGCTTCCTCTTAGACTGAGGAGGAGCAACGCCCTAAGAGTCTCCGCTACTGGCGCCTGTATTTATAAATATAAATAATTGTGGATTGGTGTAATATAAAGTTGCGGACATAATCCGTGTTGATGAACAGAAACTGGATAGCTTACTCTTAGACTGTAAGCCTCATAAGTTTCCGCTACTGGCGACAAAAGTGGAATCTAAGCGACCTGTCCTGGCAGCTTGTAAAAATCTCTTTTAGTTGATTCCAATTGTAATAAGTAAACGGAGATTTCCTTTTGTTCGTTTATAGCGAGTTATATTACTTCATATTATTTAGTTCATTATGAGTAATTTCTTTTCATATAGCTTGAATACGACGATTATGGGATAATTACCACAAATCTGATCTGATCTGCCTTTAATTTTAATGTAGAATCTTATTCAATCAGCAGATTCTAATAAGTCAAAGATTTTAGTTTATGGGCTTTCTGCCTTGTTCATCACTCTAATTACACTATCATTGATTGCCTTAGAGCTAATTAGAATTTTATCAGGTTGGAATGTTTCCAGGATTATTATATTTCCTCAAGCTCATATATTGATTTCGGTGTATTTTTTGTGTATAGTTCATGACAAGTTAGAAACAAGAGAAACTCTCAAACTTAATCCATTACAGATTATATGGCCAGTTGCTAAAAATACAAAAGAAAACCGGTGAAAAATTACATATGTAATGAAAAATTGTTTTCAAATGGCACGCATGCCCATTATTAATCCCATACCCCCGCCTCATAATAATGATTTGTTGACACTTTTTTTATTGCCTTGAGACGAGGTTGTGTTTTTGTTGCTTCATAGTGCAATGAGGAAATCATAGAGGAAGTTATGGTCACCAGCTTATGTGTGCGGTTGGTAGGTACGACATAAGAGGGCATAAAACCAATCTCATAAATAGACAAGTGTTGAAATATCTCATTCCCCCTTCAAACTTGACTTAATAAAATCAAGTTGAGCCACACTTTACCGCGCCATTGTCATATGGGTAGGTAATCAACAACGTCAAAGTTAAATGACCAGCTGGAAAGGTCAATCGTTTGCTTCTTCAATCGTAGAATGCATATGGAAATGATGAAAGTTTAAAAAAAAAATAATAAAACGTGTTCGTTCTGGGCTTAGAAACCTGTTAAATATTAGGAAGTTATTTATTATTTACTTTTTGATTTTTTCGAGATAACCAAACCAAGCTAATCTAGCTAAAAAAAAACAACCAAATACGTCAAATTTTGTTGAGACAACAAACAATCACGAACACTCAAACACACATGTGCTCTCACGGCATTACCAAAAGTGTCACCTAATACAAGAAACAAACAACAGAGCACAAAAACACACAGAGCATATGGTCTGTGACACCGAGACAGTGGGAGTGAGAGAGGCAAATAAAATAAATTAAAAATCAGGAATACAAACATCCAATCAAAAGGCGATGCAGCAAATTGATTGAAAAACAGAATAAATGTCTCTACGTAAAGGCATTTTAATGACCTTGATTTGATAACACAAATAAATAATAAACGCAATACTTGCAAGCAAACTAACTGAACGGTCAGGCAAATGGGAAGAGAGCAAGAGACAACAAAAATTAAGACAAATCAGCTGATTTACATGGAAAATAAGAGCCAAGACCTCCAACAAAACCCACACCAACAAAAAAATGGGGAATTTTTATTTAAACAAATTTTCTTTTGAAAAGCTCAATGCACTTGCTGCGGCTCTACTGGTGTGGATTACTTTGAATAATATTTGCATAAATTATTTCTAGAACAAAGACAGACAACAAAATGCGATTTTAACAAAAAATCAATCAACATTGTCAAGAAAAAAGCAAACAAAGCCTTTTGGGAAAAATGTATTTTGGGAGGACAGGTTTTTTCTTAGTCATGGCCGAGGAGTTCACTAACCCATCATCCATCCACCGTACACAAGCGATTTTTTGCTGTGAAAATGATTATGAAACCCCTTGGTTTGGAAGATGATCATCAGCAAAACAAACTTACCTCTTAACCAACAATGATGGACACCAGCTTTCTGCAGCTGGGATAGTAACACTATGTGGCGGGCTACACTCATAATGAGGCTGGGAATCGAAGTTTTCTTGGTTGCCTCTTTGTTTTGTAATGTTGGGCCGTTGATCTGTTATCTCGGCCTGTTGTTGTTTGTTTTGTAACGAAGCGGCGGCTAATTTAAATTACGTTGCCTGGCCGAAAAATTTTCCAAATATTTTTATTGAATTTTGTTTCTTTTTTTCTTTCCTTCTTTGTGATCACTTTATTTCTTCTTTAGCGACACACGTCGTCTTCCAACAACATACTATAATCGCCACCAACACTACTACTACGCACCACAATTATTATGGTTGGGATGTGGTGGAGAATTCCAATTCGATTGAAAATTGTTTACGTTTTTTATGGTTTTCTTTGCCTTTCAGTTCATTTGCCTCACAAAATCAAAGACGCAATTTTCCTTTGAAATGTTTTTAGATGTTTTCGTTCTTTCCCGTTGCTTTAATTTGCTTAAATATATATTTTTCTTTTTTTACTTTTTGGCCTCTGTGTGTTTTTTTCTTGCGCGACGACTACTACAACGACGATTTTGTTTTTTTCTTCTTCAAGCGGAGAATGACATTTGTTTGTCGTGGCGTATGTTCAGTTACTAGGTCTCTTGACAGGTTATTGCGACGAGATAAACATATGTCAAATATGGAACAAGTGGCAACAGTTGGTCTTGGAAACAGTGGTCAAATGAATGCTGTTGAAAATTTAAACCGAAATTTTGAATTAATTCTTTTCCAAAAGAAATCCAATTGATTTGTTAACTAATCAAATTATAGGGTTACCAAGGCAAAAGTATGTCATTTTGCTAATATATTTTCACAGGTTACGTTGCTAAAAGTGAGTAATAACTGAACATACCCCACAGTATTATTTCATTACTATGAAGTTTAATTGGATCCCCAATAAAACCTTTGCATAAACATTCAAAACAAAATATACTGGCTTAAATATTTTTAAGATGTATCTAATTGGTTTATATATTAATGACTTGAACAGTAATCAACTACTAGGTGGTGGTATGTTCAGTTAATTCATTTTACAAGTTATGCTCTTTAACGGCTTTGCGTTTATCAAATGATTGGTTGGGTATATTCAGTTACTGCCTTCTAATACGTTAGGTTCTGCAGTCTACATTTATACAGCACAGGATCTCAGTTACGAGAAATTATATCCTACAAAAATGTTTTTGCATTTTGAAAATAGCAAAGCATTCTACACTCACTTGGCTTATTTTCAAATATTTTGGCGCACACAATTAATATCTACATTAGTGCTTTATATCACCAGGTAGTTGTTTCCCACACTGCTTTGTTTGGTAGACGAAATCGTCAAAGAAGGTAATTTATTTGGTCCAATACCATTCCTTGTTTTGGGAATACAGACAAAAACACCTTCCACATTTAATGGTCCAAAATAATAACGAGATATTTGGTTTCTACATAGAATCTCAGCGATATTCCAACCTGCGTTTGTAAGAACTGAACTGGACTGAAACATATACCTAATGAATTATGTTCTTTGGACCATCCCATCAAAAAAATAAAACAACACCCTTGTTTTTTTACAATTTTTCCTAAAATCTAACATTTTATTAAAAACCAGGTATAACTCTTCCCTTCTTTGCTGCCTTCTTAAGCTTATTCTTTTGTTTATCCTTTGAACGTTTATCCAAGTTCTCTTGACGTTTCTTCTGGCGCGCCGCAATGTCTTTCTCCACCTTTTGTTTGCGTTCGGTCCATTGTTTCTTGGCCTTCTTCTTTTCCACTTTACGTTTCTTGATGGCCTTGTACAAGAGTTTTGGATCATCTTTAACCTTTTTACCTTCGACCTTGTCGAAAGCCTTCTTCCATGCCAGCTCATTTTTCATTTCCAATGCTTTCTCTACCTCTCCGGACTCCTTAAGTTCATTTATCTTCTTATCAGTGGCCTTTATTTCCCGCAAGATTTCTCGGGGATTTTTGTGTGATTTCTTTTTCTTTTGGGCAAAATCGAATTTGGAGAAGACAATTTTACCCTCTTCATTGAAAACAGGTTTGGGTACGACGGGCTTAATATCCTTTTTGGACTCTTTTTCATCATCATTGCCGTCGCCTTCCCCAAGTTTGGCTTGTTGATTTTTAATTGATTTGGCTGCGGTTACGAGTACTTTTTTAAATTCTTTATTTTTCTTTAGTTTTTTAGCTTCTTTCTTTTTCTTGGCCTTTTCCGATTGTGGTCCCTTCTTTGTTTTCATTTTATTCTTTATACGGTCCAGACGTTGTTGCAGTTCATCAATTGAATCGGAGGCAGCATTTTGTTTATTGGGAAACGATTTGGCAGCTATGGTTTTACTTGTTGTTAGAAGATAGTCATCTGTATCATCGGCTGGAAGAAACGAAAAAATGGAGAACTTAACAAAAATAGTTGCAGATGGCTGGTAATCCCTACATTAATAATTAATTATATAAAAAAGAGATGCATTTATGGTTCTGTACGAGCATTAACGAGAAAGTCAACATAGGTTCCAGTCTAGCAAAGCAGCCGTACTTCGGTCTCCCATGACAAAAATACATTTGTACTTAGCCAACGAATGCCACCTCAATCCACTATTCTATTTGTCTTCCACAAGAAGACATCTTTTTCTATCTCAATTGTATACTCTTTCTAATTACTAGAGCTCCCCCACTTACCTTCAATCGAATCGGGTACATTGAATGTCAACAATAAATCCATAATTTTCTCATTTTCTGAACGCATAAACGTCAGTAAATGTTTTTTATCTATTTGTATTGTCATTTTGTTTTAAATTTTATTAAGAATTAACTATTTAATGGAAAAAAGATCAAAACCAACACGTGCAATGTTTTCTCAAAGCAAAACATAAACAGAGGCCAGCGATTTTTGACATTTGTGGTCATGGGATGTGTTCAGTGAGTTCAATTCATGAAGTATGTTCAGTTAGTGTAATACTTATACAGAGTTGTTTCTTGCACAGCCATAATGTTTTTAATTAATAGAACAGTGTGGCTTGTTTGTTCGGGATACCGTAGTATTTTGTTGTTGCAAAATGGTTTGGCTTTATCCCTTTATTGTTGTTTTTATAAAAACAACGTTTGTTTATTAGTGGAGAACGATGGTAATGTTTACCAGGGGGTAAGGCAGGGAATACCTAGGTTTCGGAAAGAGCCACCAATCCTCATCAGTTCCCTTGTTTTTGTCTGGGATATTTTTTTAATTAATTGATAAAGAAAATAGGGGGATTATATTAATTAAAAAAAGGATTATAAAATTAACGGAAAATATATTATTTGTTACGTAGTGTTAAAGTTCTTGGGCTCGATTTCTATTCTATGTGTACCATAAATTTTTAAAGCAAAAAAATTCCAAAATTTTATTTTTTGACATCGTCTAGTTTTTTACTGTCACCAACAAAATCAGAGCTTTTAATTTAAAAAGTGAAATAAAATTTATCGACTGTTCTGCTCAAGTATCTAAGAATCTACTGTTTTCGCTATCTTTTTATAATAAAAAAAATTGGCTATTGGTCTGTTCCAATACTGTAAAAGTTTTTACTACGATAACCGATTTTCCCTTTATGATATACTGCAAAACTAGTAAACTGGAACAGAGCATATATATAGTATGGCCTATTTTATAGCATGTTTCCATTGGAAACCGAACAACGTTGTTCGCTCTCAGAATTAGGTACACGAATTAACCCGTTCATACTGCACGATTCGTAATTCATAGTAAAATAATTCCTTTTTTCAAAAATTTTGTTTGTTAATTTTAATGGGAATTTATACGAAAATACATGAAATTCTCACTAATATGAATAGAAGAAATTATTGTTTTCCTCCCAAAGATTTATTATATCATTAATTTTACAATTTTCATTCACGTTTTCAACTTTTTGTGCAAATGTTGACATTTTGAACATATTTTTGTGTTGTTCCATTTTTAAATTCTGGTGAAGAGACAATTGTCAAATATTTTTTCTGCCGATACAAATATTTTGAAAATATTGCCTCTTTTGTTTGCAGTTTCCTGTGGAAATTTCAACTCGTGGACAAAATGCGCACCTCGGATGAGAGAGAAAACAAAATGTACTTTCGTTTGAATGTACATACGCCATTCAACATTGTAGTTTTCATTCATAATTTTCAGTCTTCCCAAAAAATTTTAAAATTTCATTATATTTTGCTATTTTTAATTTTTAAATGCCATAATTTATTTTTTCGATAAATGCTCTCATTTGTTAGGGATGGGACATATTTTTTCGTTGTTCTGAGAGTGATTTGATTTGAACAACGTACAAATATGAGTGTTCGCTCAGGAAATTTTGTGTGAAGAATTAGATAGTTTTTTCATAGTTAAGGGCCAAACAACGAATAGAGAGCGAATCAAGTGCAGTGGAAACGCCACATTAGAACTGCAAGAATGTAAAAGTTTCTACAACAATAACCGATTTTCACTTAGTGATACCAAAAAAATAAATAAACTAGTAGATTCTTACGGGTTCAGGAACAGCCCTGTGATAATATTTTTACATTCTTGCAAGAATCCACAATTTTTTCGTAGTAAAAACTTTAACATTTTTGTAGTTCTGGAACAGACCAAGAATTGCAATTTTCTGTTCCCGAAGTTCTTCAACCATGGAATCATTGCAAGGCTACCAATGCATATAAAAAAGTCACATTTTGGTGTGTTTTTTTTTAGGCTGTTTACATCGTCGAACCGTACTTTTGTAGAGATCCTACGAATTGGAACGTAACTGTGATTGTTGACCGTTCTCATGAGATGATAGCCAATTTTGTCCAAAATGACTAGAATGGTATGCGGTTTCAACAAGACGGAAACACATAACACACAGCATGCGTAATTATTGAGAGACGTGTTCGTTAAATAATTACATCGCGTTCAGCAATGGTCAGCTGACCACTTAGATCGCACTTTAACGAGTTTATGCTTTTCATGTTTTAGATTTTCATGTAACATAGATATTGTTGTTTCAGAATTAAAAAGGTTGCTTTAAAAATTGAAAGAAATAAACTAAAGTTAAAGTTTAAACTAAAGTTTATTTCTTTGAAGGGCTAAGTACATAAGAAGCTTGAAGTCATTGCACGGCCTATTTTGTGACATTTCACAAAGGAATTACAGAGCCGCACTAAAATCCAGCCGTCGTTTTCCATTATAATTTGACATTAATATGCCTAGCCATGACTTCAAGCTTCTTATGTACTTAGCCCTTAATGCTATTTTTCTAAAGTCACATTATCGTTCGGTTGCAAGTCGACATACGTATCCCTATTTTCATCTGTCATTGAAACATCGATTGCTCGATTTAACCAACGTCTTAAAAGTCGATTAGTCCGAAGTCGACCTACGTAGCTCTATTTTCTTCTATTATCACAGAATGACTAATTTTCGTGAGTGTTTTGTTATTTAAAAATAAGAATTACAATAAAAATTCAATTCCATAACACGGAATAAAAACATATTCGAAAAATTATCGGGTTTACGAGAAAAACAACAAAACGTTAAGTTTATCCAAAAAAAATAGGATTTGTGGTGCGGTTGCGGTTGTGTTTTCCTCTCTGTTTCGCTACAAAATATAAATAAAACGATAATTAAAAACGGCAAAGCAAAATGAAGAAACAATTTACGAAAATTAAAATAGCAGCTGAAAATCTTTCAAGGTAATGCTTGTTTTTCTCCATTAAGTCGGGGAGACAAGGTGTCGTAGTCGGTTCGCATAAAATTGAGCAAAAAAAAGCTTGAAAGTGCGCTGATGATGGTTATATGGCATTTAAGTGTTTCGACAACAAAAACAAAGTGGTTAAGGAGACAGAGGAGTGGCGGCATGAGCATCATCGCCAGTCAGTCTTGCAATTTGAGATAAAAACCCCTAAATACGACATTAGCAACAACAGCAATGACAACGACAACAACGGCTATAGAAGTCCCCCCAAAAATATCTTGAACATTTCATAGCCTCAATGTTGTGGAATGTTGTATGTGTTTGTTGTCGCCGTCGTCTGGCTTATAATTGAGCGCCACTGCAGGCAACAACAAAAACAACAAGTACACCACCCCATTCCAATGGTATAGTGGAATGGCGATAAGGGCGTTTCACTAGGCCTTTGTCCTTTTTGCCAACAGTTTGTTTGAATAGCCTTAACGTCTACCCCCACTACCCCTCGCTTTGAAAGGGTGGTGCTGGTTGCTGGTGTAATGGCTGCTGATGATGCGCCAGCCATGTTGCGCTTTGTCTCGTTCCACTTTACTTCACATGTTATGTCATTGTTGTGATTAAATTTTGTGTTTGTTGCCTTGTTTTCCGTCTTAAGCAATTCTAATGATGACCCTCCCTCCCCTCTTTTTTGCAGATCGAATAAACCGGATCGTAAAGATTGTGAATTGGAATTGATTGAAAAACAAGTGGAAAAATATCGTGATGTACTCGATAAAATGGTCAAAAAATTGCCCGCGGGTTCAGCCGATATTCAAGATCGCGATAAACGCATTAAAAAACAAAGTCATTATAAAATTGGGCAAGCCCTTGAGGAATCATCAAAAGAATTATCAACAGATATGCCACTGCATCATGTTCTTTTAAATAGCGGTGAGTTGTTGGCTTTTGGCTATAGCTAGCTACCTACCTACCTTTCTATCAAAACAAGATAAACTCTTTACTTTGACACCAAAGAAACGAAGCAATAAAAAAATTAAAGAAAAATGGGCACATATCCACACACATATACGCACCTCTCCACACATATCCCCCATTTAAAACACTATCACCACCATCGTCATCATATCACCCATATATGCGATATACCTATAAATATAGTAAAGTGTAGAGTAAAATATAAAAAAAAAAACAACACGAAAAAGATAAGAGCCACCAAAAACCAACAAGAAGTAAGACAACAACGGAAAACATTCAACCATTCAACACACAAATCAACCAAACTTCTTTCTATTAAATCAGCTAGAGTCGCGGCCAATGTTGACTCAGAATTCTTTGTTAAGTTATGGCAAATCAAAGTGATTACAAATAAGAGGGGTGTATGCGGAGTCAAATTCCAATTGGTTTCCTCATTGCAAAAACGGGAAACTTTATCTTTGACATTTCGGATGGCTTGTTTTTCGATGACATTTTCTATAGAAAAGTTGTTTTTCGATGACAACGTCGTCCGATAACGATATTTTCTATAAAAACGTTGTCCGATAACGATATTTTCTATAAAAATGTTGTTCGATAACAACATTTTCTATAAAAATGTTGTTCGATAACAACATTTTCTATAAAAATGTTGTTCGATAACAACATTTTCTATAAAAATGTTGTTCGATAACAACATTTTCTATAAAAATGTTGTTCGATAACAACATTTTCTATAAAAATGTTGTTCGATAACAACATTTTCTATAAAAATGTTGTTCGATAACAACATTTTCTATAAAAATGTTGTTCGATAACAACATTTTCTATAAAAATGTTGTTCGATAACAACATTTTCTATTAAAATGTTGTTCGATAATAACATTTTCTATTAAAATGTTGTTCGATAATAACATTTTCTATAGAAAAGTTGTTCGATAACAACATTTTCTATAGAAAAGTTGTTCGATAACAACATTTTCCATAGAGAAGTTGTTCGATAACAACATTTCCCTTAGAAAAGCTGTTCGATAACAACATTTTCTATTAAAATGTTGTTCGATAACAACATTTTCTACAGAAAAGTTGTTCGATAACAACATTTTCTACAGAAAAGTTTTTCGATAACAACATTTTCTGCAGAAAAGTTGTTCGATAACAACATTTTCCATAGAAAAGTTTTTCGATAACAACATTTTCCATAGAAAAGTTTTTCGATGACAACATTCTCCAAAGGAAAGTTGTTCGATAGCAACATTTTCCTTACAAAAGTTGTTCGATAACAACACTTTCTATAGACAAGTTGTTCGATATCAAAATTTTCTATAGACAAGTTGTTCGATAACAATATTTTCTATAGAAAAGATGTTCAGTAACAATATTTTCTGTAGAAAAGTTGTTCGATAACAAACTTTCTATTACAACTTTTTTATAAAGCTTTTCGATAACAGCCTTCTCTATAGAAAATATGTTCGACAACATTGCTTGGAAGTGAGAATTTTGTCGATAAAAGTCTTCTCTTCGAAAGTATTTGTTGTAATTTAAATTTGAAATAGACGTTACTTCCCATGGGGAAAACACAATAGTTCTTAAAATTATCATACTACCCTCGTTGTAAGCGAATGAAAAATGTATTAATAAAATCCAAGCCATATTATCGTAAATACATACATTTTTTCTACATTTTACAAAAAAGGGTTTATCGGTTTGCGTGCTAACTGGCCATATTTGCATTGAGTTTTTTATTGCTCTTGGTCACAAAACTTGGCGAACAATGGCGTTGGTGGTGGCGGCAGCGGTGATAAAGACATAGAGACGCTTTTTCATATCCTCACCTTTCAAACGAATCGAGTAGCGAGTGACCAACCACCATAATGTGGTGCATTGTGTCATGTGAGGTTGTGGTATTGTTTCACTTTTCTAGTTCTTTTGTGAGGGTATTTTCCTAGTATTTTCATGGATTTGAAAACAGAAACTATTTTTTAGGAGGATAAACATGAATGACAATATACAAGTAGACGCTGAAAATAAGCACTCGTCGCTGTTTATTTTTGTCTAGTAGGCCTCACCTTAACTTGGTCAACGTTGACAATTTGACCTTGTTGAACGATATTCGTTGGCCCTGTAAAGGTGAGTGGGGGGAGGAATGGTGTGAGGTGTAAATAATTAATAAGGTAGCAAACGGGTGGCGTACTACTAACCAAATAATATTCGTGATTTATTGTAATACAACAAAAAATCGGAAGATTGACTGACAGACATATTGCGCCCGCTTGCCTTATGTATTTGTTGTACTTGAAATGACTTTGTTGTCGATTTTTTCTTTGCTTTGGAATTTTGCTTTTCAAATATTTTCCTTTACAAATAAACGCTTTCTTGTTAATTGAGTTGTTGGCGAATTGGTTGGACAGCACCATGCTCAAATGCTTGACGATAAACTTTTCTGAGATACTTACACAGACACACTCATGCTTACAAATCATAACTGATTTTTGATGGTCTTTTGTTTGTTTTGCTTCACACCTATGTTGTGAACTCTTTAAGAGCTAAAGCCAATAATTGGTTTATATGTGGCGGATTAATGATATAGACTATTGTTGCCCTTCGTTCGGCATGTCATGGCTTCAAAAGTGGCCTGTTATGTAAACAATGACAATGAGACTTCTGGTCAATGGCTGTATTTACATTAAACGAATTTCGAGGAGTGTCATATTTGAATAAGAATGGCTGCATGGTATGACAAAGGTCTATTATGGAACTATGAAAAAAAAAAAGAAAAATGGAGCGTTTTGTTATGGGAGAAAGTAAATGTGGAGGAAAAGGTGAATGGGTATTTTAGATAAATTTATTCAGTTCAACTTCTCAGTAGGACGTTTTTATCGAACAACTTTATACGAAATATGTTACCAAACATAATATTTTTTATAAGAAAGATTTCTGGAAGAACATTTGTTGTTGTCAAACAAATTTTCGATAACAATGATATTTGATCCCTATAAATATGTGATTTTTTATGGAAAATGGTGGTTATCGAACAATACAAAGAAAGTATTGTTATCGAACGATTAACATGATTTTTTTCTGTAGAAAATGTTATTGGACAAATTTTCTGTGCAACATGTTATCGAACAAATTTCTTATAGAATATGTCGATATCTAATAAATTTTCTATAGAAAATTTTTTATCGAACAACTTTTCTATAGATAATATAGTTATTGAACAACTTCTCTGTAGAAATTGTTGTTATCGAACAACTTTTCTATAGGAAATGTTGTTATCGAACAACTTCTCTGTAGAAAATGTTGTTATCGAACAACTTTTCCATAGAAAATGTTGTTATCGAACAACTTTTTTTTATAGGAAATGTTGTTATCGAACAACTTTTCTATAGGAAATGTTGTTATCGAACGACTTTTCTATAGGAAATGTTGTTATCGAACAAGTTTTCTATAGGAAATGTTGTTATCGAACAAGTTTTCTATAGAAAATGTTGTTATCGAACAATTTTTCTATAGAAAATGTTGTTATGGAACAAGTTTTCTATAGAAAATGTTGTTATCGAACAAGTTTTCTATAGAAAATGTTATCAAACAACTTTTCTATAGAAAATGTTGTTATCGAACAAGTTTTCTATAGAAAATGTTGTTATCGAACAAATTTTTTATAGAAAATGTTGTTATCTCAACAAGTTTTCTATAGAAAATGTTTTTATCGAACAAGTTTTCTATAGAAAATGTTGTTATCGAACAATTTTTCTATAGAAAATGTTGTTATCGAACAAGTTTTCTATAGAAAATGTTGCTATCGAACAAGTTTTCTATAGAAAATGATGCTATCGAACAAGTTTTCTATAGAAAATGTTGTTATCGAACAATTTTTCTATAGAAAATGTTGTTATCGAACAAGTTTTCTATAGAAAATGTTGCTATCGAACAAGTTTTCTATAGAAAATGATGCTATCGAACAAGTTTTCTGTAGAAAATGTTGCTATCGAACAACTTTTCTATAGAAAATGTTGTTATCAAACAACTTTTCTATAGAAAATGTTGTTATCAAACAACTTTTCTAGAGGAAATGTTGTTATCGAACAACTTTTCTAGAGGAAATGTTGTTATCGAACAACTTTTCTAGAGGAAATGTTGTTTTCGAACAATTTTTCTATAGAAAATGTTTTTATCGAACAAGTTTTCTATAGAAAATGTTGTGGTCGAACAACTTTTCTAGAGGAAATGTTGTTATCGAATAACTTTTCTAGAGGAAATGTAGTTATCGGACAACTTTTTTAGAGGAAATGTAGTTATTGAACAACTTTTCCTTTGGGAACCTTGTTATCGAGCAACTTTTGCGTAGAAAATATTGTTATCGAGCCACTTTTCCATAGAAAATATTGTTATCGAGCCACTTTTCTCCATAAAATGTAGTTATCGAACAACTTTTCTCCATAAAATGTAGTTATCGAACAACTTTTCTATAGAAAATGTTGTGATCGAACAACTTTTCTAAGAAAATGTTGTGATCGAACATCTTTTCTATTGAAAACCTTGTATCGAACTACTTTTCTATAGAAAATGTTATCAAACAACTTTTCTATAGAAAATCTTGTTATCGAATAACTTTTCTATAGAAAATGTTATCGAACAACTTCTCTATAGAAAATGTTGTTATCGAACAACTTTCCTATAGAAAATGTTATCTACAAACTATTCGATGGAAAATTATGTTATCGAACAGCTTTTCGATTGAAAGGTCTGCCTAATCTGCAGTACGCCTGAATACCATTTTAGAAAAATGTAATATTTTTCTAACTCTTTGTTCTCCTCCGTTTCATTTCAATTGGTAGTCTCATCTAATAAAACACAACAACACTTTATTTAATGTTATTAATTGTTTCTATAGAAAATGTTGTTATCTCAACAAGTTTTCTATAGAAAATGTTGTTATCGAACAACTTTTCTAT